ATGGCTATTGTGAAATATATTGCTATGAACACTGGCATACAAGTATCGGAGTCCTTGTTTTCAAATCATTTGGAGGTATACGTAGGAGCTGAACAGAGCTAATTCTGTTTAACTTTTTGAGGAATTACCAAACATGTTTTCAAAGCAGCTACAGTACTTCACATGCTCCCCAACAGTTACAAGGGTTCCAATTTTTCCATTTCTTCGCCAATCCTTCATTTTTGTTCTTTTGATTATAGCCATCTTAGTAGTTGTAAAATGGTATCACATTGTGGCTACTGACTACTGATATGAAGCATTTTTTCATGTATCTATTTTATAAATCTTCTTTGGAGAAAAAATTATTTAAGTCCTTTGTCCATTTTTCAGCTGTGTTGTCTTCCTATTATTGAGTTGTAGGATTTCTTTTTTGTTTTTCTGACTCAGGGTTCTCACTTTGTAGTTCAGGCTGGCCACGAATTGACTCTGTAGCCCAGGCTAGCCTCAGTTTTGCAGCAATCCTCCTGCTTCAGCCTCCAAAATGCTAGGATTACAAGTGTATACTACTACACCCACCAAGTTCTTTATATGGTCTAGATACCCAGTACCCTCATCAGTATGTGACTTGCAAGTATTTTCTCTCATTCTGTGGGCTACCACTCCCAATGACAGTATCCTTTGATGCACAAAAGCTTTTCATTTTCAACAAATCTATTTTTTTCCATTACTTCCTGTGTCTTTGGTGTCATACTGAAGACTTCATGAACAAATTCAGTTTTGAAGATTTGATCTTCTGTGTACTTTTAAGAACTTTGTACTTTGGACTCTTAAATTTAGGATATTTTATCTATTTTGAGATAATTTTTGTGAAAGGTTATGAAATAAAGGATTGCCTTCACTTATTTTCATGTGGTTATTCAGTTTTCTCATTATTACTATACTTGTTAAAGAGTTACCTTTTTTTTTTTGTACTGGGGATCAAACTTGGCCTTGTGCTCACAGGGCAGGTGGCAGAACCACTGAGCTAAATCCCTGGCCCCAAGAGTTACCTTTTTAAAAATTAAGATGCTATCAATGATATACTGTCATTTTTGTTGTTGCGTTTTTTTTGAGACAGGGTCTTCATTATGTAGTTCAGGCTGGCTTTGAACTTACTATGTAGCCCAGGATGGCCTCAACTTGCATGATGCACCACCACACTCAGCTTACAATATCATTTTAAAACTAGCAATACTCAAATTGTGATTTACTTTTTTCAGTATCTTAGAAAGTATCTTGGTTTTTACTTTGAAATGTTTTTAATCTTGCTTCAAAAGTAACAAATGTTCAATTATTGAATAAAGTAAACAAAAAGGAGAAAATAAAAAATATTAAGAAAGAGTCATAGATAACACTTTGGTTTCTACTCTTAAAAGTTTTTTCTGTTCTTTCTCTTCCTAAATTAAGCTTTTTGTATTTATCTATGTCAAGTATTCTATGACATAACTTTGAGTGGTTACACAGTATATCACATCTGGTGGGACCATAATGTTTCTTTAATAAAATGTTTAAAGATATAATGTTCAAAAATTGCACCATCTAATGGCAGTGCATTATCTACAAAATGCTATTTATGTTTAAATTAATTAAAAGTAAATAACATTAAAAATGTGCTTACAAAGCCACACTAGTAACATTTCAAGTACTCAACAACCATGTGTAGCCAGTGATCACTATCCTGGACAGCTGATACAGAAAATTTTACTCATTATAGAAAGTACTGTTGGCCAAGAACTATGTAGAATGTTCTCAAATTATCCATATTATAAATAAATTCTGGGCTACTGCAAATAAACACACACACACACACACACACACACACACACACACCTCTGAAAATTTCATTGCAATAAACTGCAGTTTATTAAATTAGTTCTTAGTTCAATAGGTATACAAGTATCCTCGTTCTCTGAAACACTAGGCATAAGGAGATGTTAATTTTCTTCTGCCAATTTAAAAGTCAAACGATCATGTCCCTGTTTCAAACCTACACGGATCTGATTCTGGGCACAATTAAACAGAAAGAGATATAAAGTTCCCTGGGGACCAGTCCATATAGCTGCTACAAATGTAGCAGTCATTGTAAATCCTAGTGTAGTAGGCGTAGTCTTTACAGGAAGTGATATCACATTACATTGTCTCCACATACCATTTATTTTCAATAACAACATCATTATGGCCAAATATGAGTATCTGTTGATGGCCCATTTATGTTTTGTTTTTAATTAATTTTTCTTAATTCACTTTTTAAAAATTTCTGGAGTAACCAATTTATTATGATCTTATAAGAGTTTTCTTTTCTTTTTTTTTTTTTTTCAGACAAAGTCTTACTACATTGTTCAGGCTGGCCTCAACCCATGGCAATCCTCCTGTCTCAGCCTCCCTAGAGCTGGGACTAGAGGAGTATGCCACCATAGCTGTCTAAGAAGTCTTGGTACAGAAAGAATATGAATATTTTTCTAAGTATATTCACATATACTTCCTTAGTTTGTAACTTGTCTTTTGTTATGAAATATAAAGTTAACATTTATATAAAGTAAAAACTGACATCTTTTCTGTTCCTGCTTGATGTAACATGCTTAGAAAAGGCTTTCCTTTTCTTATATACATTAAACTCTTATTTACATGAAGATATGATTAATTAATAAGCACAACCCTTTAAACTGCCATACTATATTTTAGCAAAGTAAATAAACACACATGAAAGAAAATATTCTTGTGAGACAGGTTATTGTTTCCATTTTACAAGTAAAATACTGAAGCTTCCTGATGACAGTATATATTTAACTATTTTTATAATTTCATCTTATACACTTAAATATGTAGCCTATATAAAATATATAATAGATATGGTATAAGGCAGGGACTAAATGTAATATTCTCCAATGTTAGAGTATTTCCAAACCTTACAACAAAGCTAAGGGGTAAAAATTTACAACAGAATCTACCCCAACTGGATATCTACTCATATGTGGAATAAGAAAACTGCATTTTTATATATTAAAAATGCAGCTCTCAGGATTTTTGCCTTTTTAGAAAATAGTTCCATTCAGTCTGGACATTAAACCTTTTACTTAAATTTTCTTTAAAATAAGAGAAAAGTGAGCTACATATAAAGAATTTCAGGGGAAAGGAAAAGTATATATGAATCACCAAAAGACTGAGATCTATTCTATGAAAGACACAAATGTTTGGGCCACCCTGTTGGCCTTTCATATGATGAAAGATAATTTCCTGAAAATGGGCCTAGACAACAATTCCATGGCATATGTTTCATCATTCTTGGTACTCACACGGGCATGTTTTCCCTCACTGGCAAATTTAGTAATGTTTTCAAAATACAAAATTTAATGCTTGCTTCTTTTTGTTTTACTTTTTTTTTTTTCATGCTGGGGATCGAACTCGGGACCTTGTGCTTGCGAGGCAGGCGCCGGAACCACTGAGCTAAATCCCCGGGCCTGTTTTACTACTTATTATGATTTTATTAGTCTCAAAAATAACTCAAAAAGGTTTTATTTGGGGCAAAGTTAAAACTTCTCTTTTAGTTTTCCTATATTTTAAAAGAACAGTACTGGTAAAGCCATAATTACTAAAGTTCTCTAAGTTCCATATTTCCACATGAACAGTTATGATTATTTTTTAAAAGTCAATTCTGGGCTGGGGATTTAGCTCAGTGGTGCCACCACCTGCCTTACAAGTGCAAGGTCCCCCAGTACCAAAAAAAAAAAAGAGAAAAAGAAAAAGTCAATTCTTTCAAAGATAAATCTAAAGCTTTAATAATAAAAATTAGTCTTCCCCCAAACAAAATGCTTTCTTCTCAGGCAGAAGAATCACTTCTATTGCAGTTTTACATTAACAATTGGTATATTCCTCTACTACATTTATCACATTATAGTCCAACTACTTCTAAGTATGTCTGCCTATCCTTCTACTCTGGTGTGGGACTGTGTGATTCAAAATTTATGTATTCCCTTAGACTGTGTTATGTCTAATGGCTAAAATGTGTTTGCTAGTCTTGCTAAGCAGATAAAATCTGTAACTAAGAGTTCTTAGTGAAATCATCCACCCTCTTGTTTGCCCGGAACTTGGAAAATTCCCGGACTCACTATCAGTAAAACAACCCGTCACCAGATGTGCTGACTATCAGTACGTGACGGTCGTGACCATATGGTCACAAGGTCTTACTGTGTGCCTGCTGACCATCAGCATGTAATAATGAGTCATTAACCTTTTTTCCCGTAAATCTACATGTAACCTCCCCCTTCAACCCCCTATAAAAACAGCCTCGGACTCTGAGCCAGTTGCCTCTCTCAGCTACTTTGCTTTGGGAGTGCCGTCTGGCCAGACTAATAAAGGTCTGTTTTACTTTCCAACTTGTCCGGTGTGTTCCTTCCCGGGTGATCGTCGCTGCAGTCAGCTCCTCGGAGCGTTTGGTAAGGCCCCCGGTCTTACACTGGGAGCTCTCTAAATTCAGCTCAAGCCTTATACGTATTCTTTCCCCATCTACCGTGTTACCCAAGAACTTGGTACAGAGCCTGGTAAATAATGGATGCCATAATACCTTCTTCTTAAATGAATGGCTAGCCAAGAGCAGTTGCTCCCTACTTCCCTAGTCATTTAACATGTTCATCTGTGTTTCTGACTCTTCCTATAAATACTTACCCTATGCAGTGCTCTTATTTACACGAAGATATGATTAATTACAAGCACAACCTTTTAAAGTGCCACACTATATTTTAGCAAAGTAAATAAACACACATGAAAGAAAATATCCTTGTGAGACAGGTTATTGTTTTCATTTTACAAGTAAAATACTGAAGTTACCAGAGATTAGAAACTTGCCAAAGGTAATAGTGCTAGTACATCACAAAGTTTGACATGAACTAAGGGTTTATAATTTCACAGTGTACCTTTCATTACAACAAGCAATTTTCAGGTAAATAACCTTTCAAAAAAGGATCAGAGGTACTAGAAACACTTACATTGACCCCAGCGCCCAGTTCTTGGGTTCAAATAATTTGGATAAAGACCATTTGGACGATCCATTTTCTGAAGTAGTTTCCGAATATGCATGACCTCAACAAAATAAAATTAAGAACCAATTAACAAAAAGAACTGTCACCAACACCTGCTATTAGTCTAAGTTTTGTATTTTTCCTGAGAACCTACACCCAACCCCCTGCCCTTTTTGTGTGTGGTGGTTGAGAAAGGAAGGTTTCTATTCCTTAGATGACTCATTATTTTAAAAAGATGATACAGGATCATTACTTAAAAATCAAACAATAACAAAAGCACTACAAGGAAAAGGACCTCTGAGATATATCATTTTGTTTATTTTTGTTTGTTTTTGCATTGTTGGGGACTGAAACCAGAGCTTTGCACTTGTTAGGCAAGTGCTCTACCACTGAGATATATCTCACCACAGTGAAATCATTTCAAATCTCAACATTGTACTATTTGAAAATAGCAATCAGAAATATCAGTGATAAATGTCATTCCAGAAATATTCAATATGAGAAGAGAAATAATTTCATAGAAATAAAATCCTAGCATTTCTGTAAGAAAATATTAATTTAAATTTAATGAATGAAAAAAATAAATGAAGTAAAATCAAATTGTTTAATTTTAAATACTGTCCCCACAATACATATTCCTAAATTCCTAAAAGGTCTTTCTGAGGTTAAGGAGGGAAAGAATTATGAAATATATTAAGAGGCTAGAGGTCCTCCGGGAATTTTTTTGGACCCATCTCTAAAGTGGTTTAATTTGTTAAGTGCTCTGGGATGTGGCTGTGTGGTGTTTAGGTTAATACATCAATAAAACTGTCCTATTCTTTATACACTTCTTAATTTGTTTGAAACTGTCATCTTCATATTTGGTGGGTAACCTGGCTGATATAAGGGACTTGGAAAAGCACTTTCTTTGTCACAGGACCTTATACATCTTTCACTTTTTTGGACTTCAGCACAACACAAATCCTTTACCACAATGTTTTCTATCATCTTTCATTTGGTCAGATTTTGCTATTACAAAGTTTTATAAATTGGGCTCAGAAATGGTATCGACATTTCCTTCATTCTATCCTATCTGAGACCTGTATTATGTACAAGTTAAAACTGAATAATTGCATAAACCAGTTTCAGAAAGTTCTGAATGTTATGAAAAATGAGAAAGTTATAATTTGTCATCTATAATTATATATAACACTGAATTTTCTGTTTCTCTTCCTTAACTATCATTTCTTTTTTAATCTACTTCTATATATTTACTAGCTTTTCTCAATTTGGTCTTCTAAATCCTCTATTATCTGCAAACTGTCCTTCTTTGTACTGGCCCCATTTGGGGCTTTATCTTGTTTATAATTTTACCTTACACTCTCTCACTGATAGCACATCATATTGTCTTGACACTGATCTCTGTTAGAGATGAGGGCTTATGTTCTTTCTTATTGTGATGTCTGGTCAGGATTTTCTGATTGCTATTTTATGATAAGTATTTTTTGGTCACTATGTTTCACTTTCCTTTTTTTTTTCAGGTAAATCTTTGTATAAATTATATACTTGTTCTTTTTATTTGATAAACTGCTCTTTACTATTTTTCTTGAGCTAGCTATTCACAAGAAAGTTTTCATATACTATAAAAGACTAGTACAGTTGAGATGTAAATATGTTTTTTTTAGCTTTTGCTTCTCTCTAGCCAGATGAGATTGGCTGGACTGAAAATCTGTCATTCATTCTTTTTCTTCACCCTGTTTGCAGGAACAAACATAGCCTGTCTGTGAGATTTTTCACTCAACTGTCATTTGCTTGTTTCTCAGTACATACTTCTAGTCCAAAGACATTCACCACTGCCCTGTGATCTTACTCTTATTTATGTAGGTTCTCTACAAGTTACTAAGTTCTGAACTTTATTTTTGTTGGATTTATTTGTGGGAATCTTTTAACACTTGTGTTGCTACCACATAAGGTAAACTTTTACAAAATGATCCTTTCTTGTCTTTCACAGTTGTTGCAGAGAATTGCTGATTTTAAATGTGTATACTGATATTTAATATAAAAAGTATTTTTTCATTTAAATGTGGACTTTTGGGACCGGTATACAGCTCAGAAATGGAGCACATGCTTAGCATGTGCAAGGCCCTGGGTTCAATCAGCACCAAAAATAAATAATTTTTTAACGTACACTGCCTTAAAGTTTAGGTAGAAAATCGTATCATCTGTGAATAATTGGTATTTCCTCTTTTCAATTCTTAAACCTTTTGTTCACTTGTGTTCATTTTGTTTTTCTTGTCTTACCTAACTGGTTAGGAGTTTCAGCTCAATGCTTAATAGAAATTAAAATGTAATTTCTAAGAAATTTAATAGTGACTACAATCTCTCAAATAATAACATATGTTTTAAACATGTTGTAGATAGGGCAGCTATCTGAAAAACATAAAGGCCAGAGCCTGATAAATATTTTAAGTATTATTCAAGTCTTTGGGAAAGCTTTATAGTTTCTATAAAAAAACAAAGAAAAAGACAGAAAAAAACTAACCTTTTTGTAGTAAACCAGGTCCCCTGTCAAGTAGCTGAGATGCACAAACTCCATATGCAATGTACCAAATTCAGCCAGAATGCTGCTACCGGCAGATGCCCAGCCCCAGTTTCTCCCTACTCCACTGAATAAAGGAAAAGAGGAGACAAGATTTGGGAAAGAAGTTTTTAATGTTTAATTAATATGTAAATTTTAAGTAAATCTCTTATAAAGTATTATATCCAACAATAGTTTATTTACATCTAAAATTTTGATTAAAAAATATGAACAGGTAATACCTTCATGTTTTAAAAGTCAAGTCAATATTTTTTGAAGTACATTATATTCATCTCCCTTCACACTAAGAGGCTCCCCAATCACTTTCATTAGTTTCTTAAATATTGCTCCATAATTTTTATGCATACATAAGCAATCCAAATACATAGTATTATTTTTCTTTCTTAAAACATAAACTGTACTAACTGTACTGTGTCTGGTTCTACCTTGTGATGCATGTTAGTTTTTTGGGGTTTTTTTTGGTACCGGGGATCAAACTCGGGTCCTTGTACTTGCACAGCAGGCGGTGAAACCACTGAGCTAAATCCTTGGCCCCATGTTAGGGTGGGTTTTTTTTTTTATGTTTACAAAAAATTTTTACAATTTTTTTGTTAGTTTGTTTTACAGCCACACAGAATTCCATGACACGAATGTTTCTCGGTTGGGATATGTCTCATCCCACAGGCACATGAAAATGTGTGAGGGCACAATACAGTACCTTGTCTCAAAATCTAAAGATGCAACCTACATTTATTGTGCTAGGATCAAAGCTGTAAAATGTCCTATAATGCTCAGAACATTATCATATAATAAAGAACTGTCCTGCTGCAAAGACTGGTAATGCTGTACAAAATCTACTGCATTAAACAAATAGACATTACTTATTTAATCAATCCTCTCCTTGATGGTCTCTAGGGGTATTTCCAATGTTTAATTATTATGAAACTTTTACAAAGAATAATTTGTGCACATTTCATTTGTGGAGATATGATCTCTGCGGTATGTTCCTAATTTTTTTAGCCTTCCCCGTAATTTTTTATTTGAAGCATGGCCATGTAAAATGAAAAGCTGGGAGGCTCTAAATGAGGTTATCTTTTAAGAAAGTTACATTTCTCCTGAGACACTGATCAAGCACAGACAGATTACCTTGGTTTCAGGCTTTGATAAGGTTATTCTATTTCAGATTTACCCCTACTCTTAAATAATGGCCCTTTGTGACCTCAACTGAAAGCCAAAGAGTTTACCAAGGTTCCTTCATTTTAGAAGACTAAACTAAGTCTCTGGTCCCCTCAGTATGATGTGGTTGTTAACATTTTTTCCTTACCTCTTTAGGTTCCTGCAATTATCTGCTGGATGTGAATTTTACCTCATACATATTAATGAATTACCAGTGACTTGAGGGAAATTTGTGCATAAGTGTTTGGGACTTTTCTCCATAATTCCTGTTGTCTGAGATTTTGTCCTTTGGGTCTTGAGTCATTTTAGCAATCCTAACATCTGACCATTTGGCTTCTCTACCCCAAAAGATTTGGGTTCTACTTCCCTGTTCCATAATCTAGAACCTTCAAAGCCAGTTTCTATGGAAGCAACCTTCTCTTAACACCACAACCTCTCAGGTCCTATGTTGCCTTTAAACTATTTAGTTTTATTTATGTTGTCTAGCTGCTATGATTGCTTTTGGTAGGAGGGCAATCTGATAACAGCTATTTCCTGATTAGAAATGGAAGTCTAACTATTCAAGCAGCGGAGTTCGTGGATTATTCTAGAATGCTAAACCATTCTCTAGGTCTTTTCTTGATTTTGAAAGAAAGTAAAAATATAATTCTTTTTTCTCGTAGCCACTTGTATACTGCTAACTCAATATGCTATATTTTAGTGATATGTGTTGAAAAAACATTAAAATTGTTACCAGGACATATCAACTCCTTGTTTAAAATCCCTTCATTGCTATTTTTACGTTGTCTTTGAAATAATGGAAAGCAAATATGACAAGCAGATTTTTTTTAATAGCTCGAAGTCAGAATCAAAGAAGGAATATGGATGTATTGACTATGTAAGAGTCATTCATGTCACAAATAATAACATTGTGCTGTTGGGGAGACACTGATAAACACAATGTATACTTCTCTCATAATAAGATCATTTAAATACTGATAACTGTGCTAAAGAAAATTAAATATGAAAACAAGGTGGTATTGCATTCAAAGGTATAAAGTACATTAGAAGTGCTTTCTCTTTATATATTATGTTTAGAGAAAGTGTTTCTGCAATGACTTAATTTGAACTGAGACTTGAATGATGAGAAGGAGCTACTGATGAATAGATCTCGAAGAGAATTCCCAGTGGAGGAAACAAAAGCAGCAATGGCCCCAAAGGAAAGGAAGGTGGGCTACTGTGGCCAGAGCTCAGGAAATCAGAGAAAATCAATTATATAGGATGAGGTTAGAGAGCTAGGTATATGCCAAAGAGTTCTGTAGACCACAGTAAAATTTCAGAATTTTTATTTTAAATGTGATGAAGAGTCATGGGGGATTTTAAGGAATATAACATAATGTTTTAGAATAAAACATACTATTTAGAATGATTAGCTAGGTTTCAGAATAGTGAATTTATTATAATGTGGTCAAACACGAATTCAAAGCCTAGGAATGCCAACAGTTTACTATTCCCTATAAAAACTTTCTGGCCAAAAGTCACAAAGGAAAAGTTTCACTCACTGTACACTCAAATGCTTTTCGAAATACTAAATTCTAAACAAGATATTCATCTTTTACATACAGCCTCACAAGAAGAATCTAAAACTAAATCTAACATTTACATATATTCTAAACATTGAGAAAAATGAGAAAACCCCCAAGAGCCAAGTATAAAACTACAAAGGACAGAAAAATTTCAACCAGTTATGGAAAGATGATGAAATACCAAAACACAAGAAGATCATAATTTCTGCTAAAAATCTAACGACTTTTCAACTGATCAAAATATAAGGTATAAAAAATATATATATATATAAGGTATAGAAATTTAAACATGTTTTTATATACACAGAGAACATGAATAACCCAAAATTCACTATTAATATCAATAAACAAAATGAACACAGCAAAACACATGATTTCTCTCAGCTGACCATCAGCAATAGACTTTTTAGATGTCTGATAAAGTTCTGATGATTTACATGGTAAATTAACCTAAGTGTCCTACAATCATATTAAATTACTCTGATAATGAACCACTGCAAAACAAGCAAAAAGCAAAAATTCTCTCTTGCTAATCACCAGCAATGGGATTTTAGAAATGTATGGTAAACTTTTGATGCTTTATACATTGAATCAACTTAAGTATCCTACAATCAGATTAAACAGTTTAGATAATGAATTACCTATACTTTAGTTTGTATTTTGTTCAAAATCCATCAAAAATCTTTAATAGATACATTAAAAGAACTTGTAAAGATTCTAGTGGATTGCAATTATCAGAAACAAAGCTTGCAAACAATTGTTGAAATTTTCACAATAAAAGTAAGGAATAAATAATAAATTAGAGCACTCAATGTGTAACTGGAATACCGTGACCTACTTACTGTAATAATCATTTGACAGAGCTCATATTTTCACTTAAGATATATCTTAGCCTATGCTTTAAATTATTTCCTTATGCTAAAATGCCACAGATAGAATTGCTGAATCTAAAGCAACATGTTTTAAGGTCATTTGATAATTTATAAGTAAAGCTGCAATGTAAGAATAGCATTGTTCCTACCTTACCCACAATAGATGGCGCATTTTTTTAAATGTAAAGCACTTCTGACAGAAGATGAATGTAGTAACTTTATTCAATTTTTTACTTTAATATGAAATCTGATGTTACATTTTCATTAAACATATAGGCTATATAATACATTTGAACATTTACGTGGACATTTAATTTTGCTTGGGCATATAAGTACTTTAGTAGCATAATTTCTGGGTCATATACTAATTCTATTTTAATTTCATAAAAAACAGCCTAATTGTTTTCCAAAGTGGCTATATCATTTTACATTCTACCAACATACGTCTACCATAATGCTTCTCAATTTTTCCCATCAGTTCTTATGTTTGTCGATCATCATTCAGTATTATGTTTTAGTGGTCTTATTTCTCTGATTCTGTGTGTCTGTGTGTGTGTGTGTGTGTGTATGTGAAATCTGAGGATTACAACATGCACCATTAATTTATAAAGAAAATGCTCACATATTATACTACTTCACATTTAAGAACATTATAATACTATGCTTAACAATAATTTAGCTTACAATTTTTTTACAGCACAATTTAGGATTTTTTTTAACTTTACAGTGGTGTAAAAGCAGTAAGAATTCAGAAGAAATCACACATCAGATTCTGAACTTTCAACTTTTCCCATGCTATGAATTCATAGTGTCTCTGGAGATTCTGGGCAGTCCACAGCTCCCACTCAGTCATGCCATCACAAAGGTAAACAACTGATATTCTACACAGTGTACTGTGTTGCTAATCTATGATGTAAGGTAGGTTAGGGTCAATTTCAACTTACGATATTTTCCATGTACAATGGCTTTATTGGGATGTAGCCCCATTATAAGCTGAGGAGAATCTGTACCTGCACATCTATGTACCATCCCATGTGGTACTGTAGTTATACATTTTCTTCTACATGTATTATAAGCCCCACAATGAAATTTATTATTTTTGATTTAAAGTCAATTATCTTTTGAAAAAAACCTTTTAACACTAAACCAGAAAAATAAGCCTAAGGTTACTCAAATATTTACTCTTTCCATTACTTTTCATTTCTTTGTATAAGTCTGTCTTTTAATCTGGAATTATTAGTATTTTCCTTTAACATTTCTAATCATAGAGGCCTACTGGTAACAAATTCTCTAAGCTTCTATTTGACTAAAACTGTCTTAATTTCATCTTTATTTTAAAAAATATTTTTATTAGCTATAGAATTCTAGATTGACTTTTTTCTTTCAGTACTTTTAAAATGCATTTCAGTGTTGGGCATGGAGGAAGATGCAAATAGTCCCAGCTACTGGGGGTAGGGGGTGAGCTAACAGGAGAG